TCTCTGTGTACTCCTGGAGGTCTGTGGTGTTATTGTAAGTGGCAGTCTGCTTAAACATATTCCAGTCAGTGGTGTTAAAACAGTCTTGAAGAGCCTCTGACGACCCTTCCGGCCACACTTGTATTTGTTTGTGAACTGGTTTGGTGACTTTAACGAGTGGTCTGCATGCAGGCATTAGCATGACAGTGATGTGGTCTGATGCAGCGAGGTGGGGGAGGGGGAGGGCCTTGTAAGCTCCTCTCTGTGTGGTGTAAACAAAGTCCAGAGTGTTGTTTCCCCGTGTTGGAAAGTCTATGTGTTGGTGTATTTTTGGGAACACACTCTTTAAGTCTGCGTGGTTGAAATCCCCAGCCAAGATGAGAAAAGCATCGGGGTGGGCTGTCTGCTGCTCACTGATGTGCTGGTACAGTTCATTTAGTGCCTCGCTCCTTTTGCTGTTGTTGGAGCTGGGAGGGATGTATACAGCAACGAGCAGTATGGCTGTATATTCCCTCGGTAGATAGAACGGCCGGCACTTAATGATCATAAACTCCACCAGGGGTGAGCAGTGCCAGGTTTGCAGACCACAAGAGCATCGCGGCACCACGCATCATTGATGTAAACACAAAGCCCGCCGCCGCGGGTCTTACCTCCCTCGACGCGAGCTCTGTCCGCTCGATAGCATGTCAGCTGATCGAGATGAATAGCGCAGTCCGGAACGCTGTTGTTGAGCCATGTTTCCGTGAACACAAAAACACAACAGTCTCTTACAGTCCTCTGAGTTGAGCGTAGTAGTCGGATGTAGTCCAGTTTATTGTCCAAAGAACGTACCAAAAATATTCCAAAAATAAAAAGTGCACTTTAAATACCCAGATGATACACTTAAATAAGTGAAAAAATGAAGTGTGGAATGTTGGACACTTCATGCACTCAATTGTCGCAGCTTTAATTACGTACCGAAGGGGGAGGGGCTATCAGACTCTGATTATGAATGACAAAATAACCTTATAGAATTCATACTATACATGGTTGAGTACATAATGCAGGTACATAGTGTATGAGTGCATAGTGTATAGTGCATAATTTGGGACGCAGCTTATGTCTTTGTACCGTTTTTCTTCTCTTATTTTTTTTCTTCCCTGGGCACCAGAGGGCTTCTGTCTTTTTGACATAGTGATAATTTATTAGTGAACATCTATCACAATCAGGTAACTGATGTATGTGGAAGTGCGGCTGCGCGGGGGAAGATTGATCATGCGTCGAACCAAGGAGAGCAATAAAATAGTTATGTTTTTGTGGGACGATAGATTTTTTTTAATAATATTTTAAATTTATAGTATTGTAGTAGTATTGGTAACAAACAAAAAAAAAAGAAAAAAAAAACTTCACTCATTTCGCCAACCCTAGCATTTGCCTATTCCGCCTATGCCATGGCCGGCCCTGGTGCACGCCACTGAATGATACGTTCATTTTAAACATGTTTACTTGTTTCCTTGGCAGGTTTAGTTTTACACAGAGCAAAACAAAACTTTAATAACACAAAATTAAATGACTCAATCTCGTGCATGTCTTTTTGTCATGCGTCAAACGTTTAAAGGGGTCATATGATGTTGCTTTAAAAGAACATTATTTTGTGTATTTGGTGTAATGAAATGTGTTTATGCGGTTTAAGGTTAAAAAAACACATTATTTTCCACATACTGTACATTATTGTTTCTCCTCTATGCCCCGTCTTTCTGAAACG